TCTTTAAAACATGCCCCGTTCTTTAACATCCAGTGGCAACTCTTTTTTCTTCTGGGCCAGAGGGTTATTTATTTTTTAAATATATTTTTTACATAGAGGAAGGGAGAGGGATAGAGAGTTAGAAACATCGATCAGCTGCCCCCTGCACACCCCCTACTGGGGATGTGCCCGCAACCAAGGTACATACCCTTAACCGGAATCGAACCTGGGACCTTTAAGCCTGCAGGCTGTTGCTCTATCCACTGAGCCAAACCGTTAGGGCCAGAGGGTTATTATTAATTACCCAGTATGTAGCCTCTTCCTGAGATAGAAATGCATGGTTTCCTTGGATATTAGACATTTAATGATCCTTTTGGCTCGCCCTTTTATTTATTAATCCATTTGTTTGCACATTTCTACAAATATTCATTGAACATGTATCAGTCCCAGTAAAGCGATGTCGAATTAAAGCTATGTTTTTCAAGGACTCGCTGTCTTAACTAATTTTATCCTCATAAAAGATGTGTTATTAAAATTACCCCTATTTTATAGATGATGAGATTAAAGCACAGAAAGATTGGTTGCTTTGCTCAAGATCTCATGAGCTGGTTAGTGGCAGAGTTTATTTGAATGTGGGCGTATTCTGGTCCCAAAGCCTAAGTTCTTAACAGTTATACAGGATACCATGAGAGGTTCTAGCAGGAAGACCTAACCTGACTTTTTATTCTGCATCTAACCTTGCACAGACCTCTTCATTCAACACACATTAATAACCACATACCTACTGCGTGGCACATTTTGCCAGAAACTATGGATATTATCTGTGTCCTCAAGGAATTCAGTTCAAGACCCGGGGGTTGGGGGAAAGAAAAAACTGCTTTGAGTGGTTGCTGGGTAGGGTGAGGATGAACAACTAACACAGCACTTAGCAGCCATCTGCTGTCATAGACAAATAAGCAGAGCTTTGGGTTTGAGCTCAGTTTCCGAGGATGAGTTAGAAATTTGTTGGGTGCAGAGGAATATTTTGGGCACGGGAAATAATAAATACCAGGGCACTGAGTCTCAGAAAACAGTGGCACATTGGGGAACTCACAGGAACTTTTTAGTTTGGTAGAACAGAGACGAGGTCATGAGGGGGACAAGTCAAGCTTGGAGAAAGGTTAGACTCAATTATGAACGTCCTCGAGTTATTGGAGCAAGGGCTTACTCTGGTCCTGTTTTAGAAAGATAAGTCAGCATGGGAAGATGATTTATGATTAAACTGATAGTAACTGAACAAAATGTTCTTTTTCAAGCCCTTGGAGGAAACAAGCAGGCCCTGGAGGAGGCAGCAACGGTAAGCGACTTGACCTGTTTGGGAACTGTAAGTTGGGTCTGTTCACAAATCCAACCAATGGATGCTTACTATAGAAGAGGTTCCATAAGGGTCTTTATCTGTACATACGTACCTATGAGAAAGTTTAATTTATAAGTTAGGCACAGTAAGAGATTAATAATACAATAGAACAATTATAACAATATACTTTGATAATAAAGTATGTGAATGTGGTCTCTCTAAAAATAGCTTATGGTACTATACCACCTTTTCACTTAATGAAGCCCTTTCCAGTTCT